TATTAACCTGAATGCTCAAACGAAGTGCAAAAGATGGTGGAGAATGTGAGTTTATCCAGAGAATAGAATCTATTCATTTAAATATTCCTAAATGTCAATGTTAATAAAAGTTTCCTGATTGTCGCTGTAATCCTTAAGAAGACTATCCGAGTAAAACTTGAGCGCCCCAGACGCAAGTGTGCAACATTTCACACTTGTGAAAAACAAAGAGAAGTTAGAAACTTAAATTAGGGTCATTATAAAATTCGCCTTTCGAATTTATTGCTTGTCAGCTGAGTGTTCTGTTAACAATGATCCTTCTTAATATTTCAATTGTAAGTAACACGTTTTCGGTACATATATTACTCCTAAGTTATCAGAAATAGTAGAAAACTTCTAAGTTATAATTGTCAGCAGTGACGCCAGGTTCTGACGGTCAATACTATAATTTTGCGGATATTCTATCAACCAAAGAACAGAAACAGCTCATTTTCGTGCTTATCTTATAATAAGAGTTTTTTTTTTTTTTTTTCTTACTACTTTTTACACTTACTACTTAATCGTTAGATCAAGAATTAGCTTTATTATGAAGATAAAGGGTTGACAACTTTTTTTCCAATTTCCGACCACTTTTTGCAGTAGTTGTGGCCGTACGTCAATATTCTCTTCCAAGGCGTGCATCGCCTCTGTGCAAATAAGCGACTTCGGAAAATCCCACAAAAATAGTACAGCGGTATGGCATGATTACCTCTGCCTATAGAGCAGATCTTACAGTGATGTTTTGAGGATGAAAGTGCATCTCAACAATGTATTGTGGCTCTTCATTACTCCAAATCTGACAATTTTCAACCAATATTCAACAAAAAGTGAAAAACGAATTGACATTTGCAATGTTTACACTAAAACTTTTTATTTCGTTTGTTTTCCAGTTTAGATACGTTATTTTCATGATTTGTGTAACCTATGTTTGTACTCATACTGCTAATGTTATATAAACGTCGTAATAAATATTTATTTTTGTTTTTTGCCAGCATCAATATTCTGTTTATAATTGCAAGTTGTATCGCTCTATATCCGCACTGGTTAATGATAAAACAGGCACAAGGTGATATTCCTTTGATAGCTGAGGTAAGTAAAAATATATTAATTATATATAATAAAACTTTTCCGCTTTTTTAATCAATAAATCGACCAGTTTTTAGTTCGCGCGAGTTTTTAAAAATTTGTTAATTAATTTCTTTGACTGTAGAACCGTTCCAGGTAGTAGACGAAGAGTTAGCAAGTGGCGTTTTGAAAGAAAATTTTATAATAAATTGCTTTAGATAACTTATGCATAATAAAAAGTTTTACACTGGTACTAAAAATGTAGAAAATTTCTTTCAAGCAATACTGACCTCCCAAGTAAAGTGTTACTAACTTAAACGCCGAAATTCTTTCCTCCTGCAACTGACTTTTTCAAAACTTGGATCATTGCATCAGATAGGCTACTCGTGGCGTTTTTTTTCTCTACTCATTCACCTTTGTGGGGGAAGAGTCGCTGGTGAAGAGGTGTAGTGAGGCACAGTGAGGTTTTTCACGGATGGGTCCCCTCTAGGAAGGAAAGTGAGAGGGGAGTAAATTAGCTGCAAGTATAGACACTAGCCGTCTCAATAAATTTGTGATAGGTTCAATGCGCTTGATAATTTTTAAGATTTATTATATGTTTTATAGTACTTTTAAGTAACACAATGGGTCGGCATTAGAAGACTTCTGATCGACTTCTCAAACAGATCTGAAACTAGTTGTGGGGCTTTCAGGCCTTCTCTAATTGACATTTGAAGCTCGACAGGAAATTTTATACTTCTGTAGTATTCTAAGAAGTGATCAAGTACAAAGTATTGTTTGATGATGTTTCATTTATACCAAAACTAATAAATGACTTAACTTTGAAGACTTCGACCACAGCGCTGCAAACGACGACCGGCTTGATTAAAATGGCTTATATGTTGTTCACTCAGCATAGATTTCATAAACTGCTTCGCAAAGCTGAAACACATGAACTGCTGCAGGGAATCGAAATCTTTCAAACCGGTAAGAATCTAATAGCAATGGATTAGCGCTACGTGAAATGTTTTGAAGAACACCCATACAAACTTTAATTTTTTATTTTTTATTTTTATTTTTTGTTTTTGCTAGATATGCCAATAAAAACCACTCTGAAGAAAGAGATTAATGCAATTATGGAAATCAATTGGAGACAGGCGAGGGGACAGCTTCTGTTCACTTTAGGAACCTGCATCTGCATTATGTCCAACTATTTCTTTTATGCATTTTTCAAAAACTTATATAATCATTTGCAGGGCACACCAAATTATGTGTATATTCTGCGTATGTGAATATTATCTTTATACAACTGCAGAACTCGATTAAATCAAATATTTTTCTTACTTGAAACAGCTTTCACTGGCTACCCGATGTTTCTGCACAAAGGAATGGCCTCACCGTATTACGCAATGGACATGTTTTTCGGTGCTTGCTCGCTTCTGGTCGCCGGCATGAGTATACCCACGTAATTGTGATCCAAAGAAACCCTTTATTTTGGACAACATATTTTGCAGGTGCTATTACCTTCCAGGGATGTTTTTTGGTGCTTTGTAAGCATTCCTGTGGATTGGTCCAGGTGTTATGTCTACTGCTGAAGAGATCCACGTCAACTCTGGTTCCAAAACCGCAACGTGTGGAATATTTGCGCTACTGCATAGTACAACATCAACGCACTCTTGGGTATGACTTACAGACATATATTTGTTTAGGGCAAAAGGGCTATTAGTTTAGTTCACTTAACGGTTATTTGTAAGAGCAAAAAATAGTTGGGCTGGATATATGATACTGTGATTATATCGATAACATGTTGAAAAATCGTGTTACGCCAAAAAAGTAGCAGGAACTGTCTCAACAAGTAAAATATCATTATTATTATAGAGGAAGCATACCGGTACTACATAAAGCGAAGCCTATACGAAGAGTAGATTAAGTGAGTTTGCACTTAACTCCTCAACCTTAAATATAAAGAGAGCTTAAGGTCGTCCTAATGTCCTTCTTGACTTAAGCCTAGCACTTAATAATGGCTCCCAAGGTGCAGTCATTGATAGTCAGCATAGAAACCATAATGGTGTGTACTGTCGTCTCTTTTTGGCAATCTGGCTTTATATGAGAGAGAAGAAGCTAGATTTCATGGGAATTTTCATACTGTCGAAATTATGTGGAGATGGCTAATAACGTTCGAAGCAGCAAAGAGAAAATCAATAACACAAAAGGAAGCGAAATAGCGGCTAAAATTGCCAATAGTGTCATCCGCTGGCTACCGAACTAGCACAGAACTACCATAAGTCGCTACTCAATGAAATTTCCCAAAGGGCTGACAGATGTAGCAGGCTGGGATGCAATGAAGGATTGTGAAGATATTTATGATCACCAAGATAATATTCAAGGCCTCGAAGAGACTACAGGACGATTGTTGGTATAATCACAGATCACAATTTACTGACATCACAGAGCCTTATGTCCATTACTAATAATGATAATGCAGACATAATACTGTTTTTGACGTTGGTACTAAATTTTTCTTCATTAATAGAGCAAAATGAAGCTGTAGTCGACAGTGGGGAAACCTGTGAATTCACCGATGAACCAAATGTGAGACAGAACCAAGAGCAGGTTCTCTTTTTTAACCGGTAAATCCATAAGTTTTCTGGCGCACAGCCAAGCCAAGTGACAACAAAATGCTATCCCAGGACCAACACGAAGTCTCACTGGTTAAAATTACGTAAGAGCGAAATGGGCAGACTTTCAGAAGAAAACTTGGTAAACATTATCTGTGACCCAGTCACATAGCGAAAGAAGAAAATAAAAGGACAGCATTTACAGAGAATGATGAGATTCCTTACCTCTATGAATGCGTGCCTTCAGCCAGCTGAGACGAGATATCTTCCACGGCTCTCAAAAAATTTTGACATTTTGTCAAATTCATCGAGTTGTTAACCAGAATATAATTGTTACCATTAGTTTATTCAATGGACTTAATAATTCTTAGATACGGGAACCTGCACACTATAAAACCCACACATTTTTTTACACTTTTTATTATTTGTTTTGACGCGTTTATTATTTCTCTGTAATAGAATTTTATAGAAAAAACATATGATTTTCTAGGTTTATCGACGAGGTCAATCAGCTTTTCAGGCACATTTGTCTTTCACAATTTCTTCATAGTCTGGCAATTTACGGCTTTGTGCTCTTCGAGATGAACTTCGGCTTGGTAAGTGATACTGAAGTTGACCATTCTTCAATGTACATACACTATATACATATATAATCTATATACATATTTATACCGTATTGCAGGAATCAAATAAAATTACATTTATTCGCACGTTAATGTATTTATGT